CTGAAGAGCTTCATGCTGATCTGCCCGTTCCTGCCCCTGTGTGTGTTTCAGGTGGTGAAGGTTTACAAAGCAGGGATCCAGCAGACCTTGGACATCCTCTTCCTGAGAGGTGGTGCAGATTTAATAACCAGCTCCGACTGCGTGAGCAGAGACTCAGCAGACCGCACCCTCATCGCCTGGGACTACCAGACCACAGCCAAGGTCTCCAACCAGATCTACCACGTAAGAAACCAGTGTGTTCCCACCTAAACCCAACAGCACTGATTGGTCTACGGCGTTATGATTATCAGCTAAAAGGCTTTAAAGCGTTTCTGAATTATAAGAGGCAAATCACTTCCCCGTTTAAAACACATTCCTGAGAACGTGTGAGCCTCCCGATGTGGAGTCGCTAATGAGGCATGTGAAACTGGCATGTTTTGACAGTTACATAGTGCTGGAGGAAGTCTGCGCTCTGCTGACTGCCAACTACTGTAAAACTGTGTTTTTAATAACCTTTGTGCCTTTTCTGTATTGAATAAATTCTCATTCTTGAACAGCATCTCAGCTGAACATTGGTTGTACAATAAGTCACAGGAGTCTCATAAAGTCTCCGTACACTGAATATGGAGAGAAGAGTGGACAGAATAATAGGGACATTATAGTACAATGCCATACAACACTCAGTGGGTTTTCTTTTACTTTGTTCGATCCTCAGACCGCTGAACAAGAGACTTTATCAGAACTACAGACTAGTTAACATGCTGCCGACTTCATGGTTAGCAACAGCCAGAAAAGGTCAAACGATGAATTAATTTCTCTTCTGAATTTTTACTCATTTGGCCACCAGGAGCGTTACACGTGCCCGAGCCTGGCGCTTCACCCGCTGGAGGAGTCCTTTGTAGCGCAGACCAATGGGAACTACGTGGCGGTGTTCTCCTCCCAGCAGCCCTATAGGATGAACAAGAGGCGCCGATTCGAAGGACACAAGGTCAGTAGCAAACGGGGCCTGGGGGCTGGGTTTGGGGGGCAGGCCCCGTCGATACACAACAGCTGCAGTCGGATGTACACACACACACAACTCCAGCAACACGCTGCAAAGGCAGTGGATGCACACAAACGAAGCGTTGGTTGTAACCCAGATCCTACGTATTGGTCACGTAGATCCACAGCCTGCAGCGTTTCCTCCTCTAAACAAGCACACTAAGTGCTCTGCCATGTTTCCACTGTGGAGGCCGCCGGATCGGTACAGTCTGTAGATTAGGAAATCAACATTTCTGATTTAAAAAAACAGACAGGAAACGAGTTGGTGTTTCACCTTCCAGGTCCAAACTTAATAAAAACAACATAAAGCGTGACGACACCACGTCTCTGAGGCTCGTTCCTGTTTACTGCTGCAGGGACCAACCAGTCGACGCTTCGCACAACTTCCACTACGGTACTGAGAGCCTGGCAGCTGCAGTAATTAGCTATTAATCTTTCAGGATGACAAGTCATTGTGATTAAAGACGCCTACGTTGTTTCACCAGCTGTCAAATAAATGACATAAAACGCACAGAAATGCTCGATAATGCTCACAAACGCTCGTATGTACTTAGAAATGGGTGTCAGTGCAGAAATAAAGCCTTCTGTCCAGAGAAGATCCCTCACTGCTGTGATTCCAGGAGACACCAGACACAATGCATGTTACAGCTGTTTATGTTTAACTGGTTTACATTTTCTATAAATGCTTCCTATTCAACTTGTTCTTTCTGTTTTTATCTTGAGCCCTGTAAAGTGGCTTTGAGCATCTTGAAAAGCGCCTTTACAAATAAAATGTATTATTATTATTTAAATCTAAAATTCTGTGACTAGATATGTACATTTATACGTATAGGTAACAGATTTAAGAGCTGTTATGCCTCCCATACAGCTCATACAGGATGTGAAGTCAACTGCAAAGCGACTCTTCCACACGTCTGTGTAATAACTATAGAAAACCATTCGCTAAACCAAGCAGACATAAATAATGAAGATGTAGAGCTGGTGAGGCTAAAGTGCAGCCATATATCACATACATGTATGACAGGTGCATATGTGCATTATTGTTCCTTGGAATGTAGTTTTGTAATGGTTCACAAGTTTTTAATCTTCCTGGTAAATAAAGTGAGGTGTGTGTGTTTTCCTGAGCAAACTCTGCTCTGATTAGTCCGACCGGAGCCGGAGCCTCGGCGTAGCGCTGGAGGCCGTCCTGGTGGTAGCACTGAAGGAGGAACAGGACACATGTTTGTTGTTCTGAGGACTGAATCAACACGATTTCAGTCACATGCTCTAAAACTCAGGCAAACCAGCGATGACGCCACCAGTGCTGATGGTGGTGTTAATGCTTCGGGTGGAAGGCTAATGCGTCGGAGGCGGCGCTATGCTTGTGTCACAGGTGGAGGGCTATGCGGTGCAGTGTGACTTCTCTCTGGATGGAACCATCCTAGCCTCAGGGAGCTCCACCGGCTGCGCTCACTTCTACGACTACCACAACGCTCGCATGCTGCACTCGGTGCAGGCGCACAGCCGGCCCTGCCTGTCTGTCGCCCAGCATCCCGTCCTGCCGGCGACTGCTGCCACCTGCGACTGGACTGGTGAGATTAAAGTCTGGCACTGACAGCCGAGTGTACGAGTAAATATAGACTTAAAAACCAGCAACGTGGCCAAGAGAGGAAAGACTGTGTTCAACTGGAAACTCATGCACGTTCGTCTTCACGACTTTATCTCCCATAATCTCTTGGCAGAGGAAGATAAGAACTTGGAAAAAAATGCTGGAAGTCAGCGAATCTACTATCTACTGTGTCTTTGAAAACACATTTTTTTACACTGTGTATCTTGCAAAGCCTTTATATTGTATTAAAAAGAAAAAACACACCATCTCAGTCACTGTTGTGTGAATCTCACTGTAAGCATCCGATTCATACGCGGCTCATCGTTTAACACGCCGCGCTTTTAGCATCTGAGCGAGCGAGATGAAATCAGACGGAGTTACGCTGCATGAAATCAAAGCCGGTTCCTTTACAGTGAACAGTTCAAAGAGTCATCTGTTGTTATGAGTGTTATCTGAAGTGGTAGGCGGTGGGAAGACACACACACACACACACACACACACACTCACACACACACACACCAGCAGCGCCTTTACCATCAGCTCTCCTCTCCAAACACAGGCCGTGATCGTCGTGCTCCTCTCAAGGTTTTGACAAAACAGAAAATCAAACCTCTCTGGGCGTTTTCTAATCACAAGTGTTTTTCCTTCCTCGTTCTGCAGACGCATCACTTCTCTCTGTGCCTCTTTTTGTTCTCTCTGGCTCTGATATGACATTTCCTTTCACACTGACAGCTTCAGAGCATCACAGAAAGACAACCAGAGAACTAAAAAAAGAAAAAAATATGGCATCATCTGTCAAAGCATCGCCAGGTTCTTCCCAAAACCTGCCAGTCAGCCGCCGAGCGCTGAAGTGCAGACGGAGGCTTGTGATCTTTATTCAGTGTCTCGTAGAAATGTCCTTAAAATACGCTTTGCAGTTTGGCACGGAGGGAACATCTAATGGATCGTTTTTTGCAGCCTTTACGGTTGTTTATACTGGAGCTAATAGAAGTGAAATTAAAACTGTAATTGTCTTTAAATTACTGCCAAGTGATTGGGGAAGCTTAATGAAGCTGCTGCTGTGCGTAGCATCCCTTGTGTGTGTGCTTTAAATTATTATTATTAATATTTTTCATTTTTCCTGGCTAGCACAGATCGTCCCTGTCAAGCAGATCACAGGGGATGAAACAATAAGGACTCATAAAAAACAGAATAAACTCTGAGCTGGATCTGACAGCGTCCCCCCGACACATCTATGAGATTGGGTTTGACAGAAGAATCCTCGTCCTGTCGCCAGATTTAAAGAAGCCTTGAAATCAATAAAAGTTAATGACAACTGGCCCCGAAAGGAAGAGAAATGTTGTAAAAACAGCAAAAGATAGACGTAAAGAAGGTCAAAGCAAACTTATATGAACAGGACGACGACAAAAGGAACAGGACTGTCCCCAACCTACGAACCTCTCAGAGGTCTCAAAGGAGTCAAAAAGTCTGCTTTGTATTTCCCAACACCCACCTTTATTAAGTAAATAAACATACAGCAAAAATATATAACCATGCATCAGACAGACGGACATGTGGACGTTAAGACAGCTGGCCTGTTGCTCCTGGAACAGGGCTGGAGGTAGGACAGGACAGAACCACGTCAGCCTCGGCATTCAGGGTCAAAGTGTTCCATAAATATAACATCAACAGAAACTACATAAAAATAGCCATAGTGTCAGAACGGTCGTGTATGTAGTGACTCTTTTTATACATCATGTCCACGACTAAAACACCGTATGTCCCTCCATCTCTCTGTACAGTGGCTGTAACTCAGACCCTGTTAGCGTCATCGTCTCACCAAATAGGAGCTGATTGGAGATGTTTTGTGGCCCGTGTGGAGCAATTTTACCTTCAAGAAGAAGAGACGTCGTTCTTTAAAACAGCCTTAAGCCAATTCTGGGATCTGCAGGAATGGGAGCAGTAAATCATGGCGATGCAAAACAAACTCAACACGACGACTCGAGTTCCCTTTATGTACCGTTTCCCCGTCGCCGTTCCTCTCAGATCTACTGAGCTGCACCGGCAGGAAGACGTCCTCTGTTGTTGGAACGTCGTCGGTTTGTACTCCGGTGTAACAGAACAGATGCTAACGTGATTGTTGGGCCGCATGTCTCCAGCTCTCCGTGTAACGCAAGGCGACGTCTTATTGTTAAAAACCCGTCAGCAGGTGTCTTATGTATGTACGTATATATACACGCTTTGTCTGTGTCACAGTGTTTTGTCTACGATGGCCTCGCTGAGCATGCTGGTGCAGAACAACACACTGACTGGACATCTTTCATCAGCTGTCTCTTTCTGCCTTTCCATTGCAGAAGTGCCGACTTGCCAGGAGAACCGTCCAATTAATCTCTCCGGAAAACTCGAGGAAGTAGCGCGTTGGTTTCATGTGTTTGAGTGTCTGGTGCTGATCGCGTTAAAACGTCAGCATCAAGGCAGACATTTTGGATCTGTACGGGGATCAAAGCGTCTTTAACTAAAAGGAGTTTCGATGGACGTCTCAGCTGAAAAACAGACTTTAAGTGGCCGCGAGTGTGTCGTCTGACAGGAAGAAGGTAGCACTGCGACAGTCGTGTATACGCACAGTACGAACACGGCAGATATACAGTATGTACACACTCGTTAGTAAAGGAGACCGTCCTGCTCAAGGGTTAAGGCAAGTTCACAAGAGTCCTCGATTAGCGTTAGCACGGTGCAGCACAGCCCCTGACGTCATCGTGATACAAAAATATGAAAATCCAGCACGTTAAAAATCCCGCAGCTCACATCCGTCTTCTAGTCTAAATAATCTCTGTTTAATCGTCTTTACTCGATTGTTAGATTTGAACATTTTGTCCAGCGATGATTTTGTTATCATACATCTGCTAAACAAATTCAGGGAGGTGGGGAACTCTATAAATCTTGCTATTTATGATTATAAATCTAATATATATGCTTAAATATTTGCTGTAGCCGGTTCAGTCAGGGCGTTCAGCTGAAGATGTGCTGTTCATCCCGTTATGACGCATGAGGCAACATGCACAACAAATCCTACACACACATGGCAGAAAACCGCTCCCCTACAGGACGAGTTACGTCATTACACTTGCTTCACCATCATCAGTACGAGCAGAAAGTAATGGTCTGTTGCTGGTTTTACTAACAGTACTTAACACCAAAAGAACAACCCCAACAAACAGCACAGTATGTTCGTGTAACGGGTCATGACGGGATGTGTTCTGGTGTCCTGGTGGCTCTAGTCGTTATCAAACAGAAGCTGGCTGGTCTCAGGCGGCGACACCGCGTCGTGACGTACGATAGAAAAAAACGACTGCATGAAACGTGCCGTGGCTAAAAGGTACATGAAACAACAACCCCCCGTCACACCAAGCATGTGTCTGCTGCAGGGAGACATACAGTACAGTAGGTTAGGAATCATCATCATCATCATCATCATCATGCATAAAGCGGAGAGCTGTCTGCCTCCGCTCAGTTCAGCAGCGTACCGTACAGCTGTGCCTTGGTCAAACTGTCCTTCCTCGTCAGTCCCGTGCTGCCAAATTTTTGGTATCTTGGAGAGGTCTTCTTTGGGAGTGCGGGGCCGACGCTGAGGGCAGAGCTGGAGCTCGGGCGAGGCCGGACGCTCGGCCTGGGGCTGGGGTAGTGTTGGAGACTCGAGGCTTCGAGCGAGCTTTGGTGTAAGGACTCACCGGAGCTGTCGGCGCTCAGGTTCACGTAGTCCTTCTTGGCGCTGCTGGCCGCCGTCGCTCCCCCGCTGCTCTCCTTGTCTTTCGAGCTCCCTGAGAGGAACAGACTGCACTCGGAGTCCTGGCTGTCCTCCTTGGCTCTGTACAGCACAGATGCTTTCTCCTGCTGGCGATGCTCCAGAGGTTTGGGGCTGCGACTGGGCGACAGGGAACCCAGGGCAAAGCACTGGTCCAGCACACGGCTGTGGAAGACGTCATCTCCTTCTTGGAAGCTGCTGTAGAGAGACCCCTTGACTTTCCTGGAGGGGCCCATGGCAAAGTGGTGTTCTGAGAAGCTGTAGGGGGAGCCGCGCCCCGTGATGTCCCGGTAAGACGATGAGATGGTGTTGATGTCTTCCACGCTCAGCTGTCTCCAGCGGCTGCTCAGGTCGTCCTCGGACACCTGGATGTCGCCTCGACTGTCCAGGGCTCCTCCGCGGGCCCCTCCCAGTCCGGTGGTGGACCCCATGCTGTGAGAGGAAGCCAGGCGGGGGGTGCTGGAGTGGTACGGTTCGCTGAAGCACGAAGCTGTCCTGGTGTACGCTGGTGAGGTGCCTTTCTGCGGGCTCCGGGGAACCACCATGTGCTGGATGCTGTGGGACTTTGGGAAGCTCGGGCTGTCTTTATCGTAAGAGGACATGCTTTTGCGCTCATAGTCCCCGCTGCCACCATCTCGCCAGTCCATGTAGAGGCCCTGGTGGGAGGACGATAACGTGCTGCTGGCGGTGCGCCCACACCCGGCGCTCACTCCTCCCTTCTCATCTGACGCTAGGCTGAAGCTGGAGTAGGAGCTGGAAGCCGGCAGGCTGCCGGTGCCAAACTCATCATGGTGGTGGAAGGAGGACGGGGGCTCGTGATTAGAGAAGCTCCCAGAGTGGAACGCCTCTTCATCCGGGTTGCTGTCGGTGGAGTTCTGGGCGTGGAGCTGAAGCAGGCCGGTGCCGTGGAGGTCGACGCTCTGCCTGCGCTCCGTGTCCTGCCACCGCTCGGGGCAGTAGAGGGCGGTGTCGCTGCAGTACAGGTCAGACGTCTTGAACGCGATGCGGCGGTTCAGGTGATCGGTGCTTCCCGTTCCCGTTAGAAAGTCTCCGTCCTGGGGATGCGGGCTGGGCGACCGCGACACGGGGCAGCTGCTCCCGGGTTCGGGCTTTTCCAGCACCTTGGCAATGATGGCTGTGGGCACGGCGTCGGAGTAGTTGGAGTGACACATGGCCATCGTGGCGCCGCTGCCCCGGTTATGCTTCTCCATGTGGGAACTGATGCGCTCCTGAAAGTCCAGCGGCAGCTGAGACACGGGAGACAAAAGAAGCTGCATGAAGACGAGAAACCAAAACCAAAACCTAACAAACGTTTTGCTAACGCTGTGCCGGTTGCTGAATCGGTCTTCAGATCGAGTCGGTGAATCTCTCTGAAGGACGAAAAACTTCCTCAACAGCCTTAATTATTTATATTGAATCTCTTCCAAACATGTTTGATGCTTTTTGTGTCGGCGCTGAAGCCATTTTTAGAGCCTTTCTGGAGGTTTTTAATCTATAACTCTGGTTTATGAAGTGATTCGTTCCCACAAAGCTCGTCCTGTCCAGACCGGCTCATGTGTCTCTGAGGAGCCGTGATGAAGTCACAGAACATCAGATTATTTGTTTGTTTCCAGGTCGCTGCTCTATTTGCCTAAAATATTTCTCAGATATTCGTGACTACTAAATGTTCCTCATCTTGTTTCTCCTTCTCTCTCAGACACATGATCTCTTTGATTGGCTCGTGCTTCAGAAAACTGTTCCTGTCAATTACAGGCTGCTTCTTTGTGCCTATTAAAGCCGGTCAGGGCCAGTCGGACCTGTTCCTGCCAAACTGAGCTCTCTTTCTTCTCCTCCCTTTCTTTATCCTTTCATCTTTCTCCTCTTGCTCCACTGCCTTCTCAACCGAACAGCTCTCGTTCCCTCTCTGTCTGTTTCTTCTGTCTACCATCAAACGCATATCGGTTCCACAGGGAACGGCTTAGATTCAAATTAAACCAGTGCTCTGGGTCTCCAGCTGGGTTCAGAAAAAAAACAGAAGAAGATAAAATACTGACTTGGCTTTGTTAAGAAATAGCAGCTCGCCTCGGCATAAAATAACCTGCATCTTTTAAGTCGGGGCTATTTTTAGCAGCTGTTGCCTCTCCCAGAGGGAGAAGAGATGGAAAGTAGGTGATGCTGGTGAGGAGGGGTGATAATATACAGTGTGTGCTCCCAGTAAGCTAGCTCAGCATTAGCTGCTATCTGAGGCAAATCTTAATTAACAGTCACAGAGTTCTGCAGCGTCGGTCCACGTGACGGGACACACAGGTCTGGTGTCATTTATTAAAGCAGTCCCTCCCTCTTCAGAATGCTCCACATTTAAAACAGATTTACATTCTGTTCCCTTCTTAGATTTAAAATGTTGATAATTCATTAAAACACTCCTTCTCAGGTGGCTGCTGGTGAACCCAGCGGTCGGTAACCTGCTCCTCCTTCATCCCTCTGATGAGGCTCCTCCTGGTTTTGGAAAATAAATAATGAGCATTTAATTTAAATGTGTTTTATTTTAGTTTGTTAGTTTTTAAAATGTAATTGTACATTTGAAGATGATGAAGTTATATTTACTTTGCTGCAGGTGGATGATTTAAGTTTGACTTTTTGTTTCATAAATACGGATCTATTACGGGGATTTTGCTGTGACATGATTCACATGGTCTGGTGTGACCGCTATAGCTTCTGGTGGCTCATGTTCACAAACTTCAGATGATGCTGTGAGCAGCGGGTGTGATGTCCAGATACAACACTGCACCCACTGCAACACGATGGAAGCCACCGGGCTAGATGGAGACAGAACTCTCCTTTTGCTCCATATAACAAAGTTATGAAGTCATAACTCACTAGAAACAATAGAAACATAAAAACTCCTCATACTAGAACTTACAGGTTTGATTCGTTTCCTCACTTCTCTCCTCTCTGTATGAACACTGCCTGCAGTTCATCTCAGCTCAGCTAGAAACACTTTTGACTCTCAGTGAATTGTGTAATTGTGGCGATTCTTTACCAAAATCCTACCGGCAGGTTCCAGACGGTTACTGACTGTTCTCCTCTTGGTAGCGTTGTGCTACGTTAGCATTTAGCGCCACCGCTTGGTGCCAGCTACGAGCTAGTTCAGTTTCCTTCTGTTTCTTTGCTGTTTTTGTTTGAACTTGTGGAACGTTTGTCTCCCCCTTCTGGCGGCGACAGTAATAACGCTGTCTCCATATTAATCGGTACCTTTGTTAGACTGCAATCCTTCGTCTGGAGCATCAGGAACTTTTCCTGGACGCTCTGTCGGTTAGTTCTGGCCTCGTTGCTCCTCTCTGAAGCTGTGACCAGCTCATCATTACAAGCTGATATAAAATACATGCTGGTGGGAGAATCAGTACAGACCCAGATCTAAAACCCAGACATGCAGCAGAACACAGATCGATCTGCCCGTCGCTGATGCTGCTCACCACCAACCAAAGAGCCTGAATGTAACGGACGTCCATTTATATGTAAAAGTCCTGCACTCCAGCGTTAAATAGAATTATAATGATAATAAAAGCAGAAAACATCCTCTTGTTGAAGGTTCACTTCATTTATCTGCACCGTTGATAACTAATGGATGTTTAATGACGTGATGGTGTCTGTATGCGCTGCTCCAGACAATCACCGCCCTGTGCCGGAGTACAAGTTTGTTCAGATGTCGTCTCGAGCGTGCTCTTCATTCACCCGTTCACCCGTTCATTATGCGCAGCTGAACCGCAGACAGATGGCACTTCAGACAGCAGACCTTCATCAGGCTGCCTGGAGAGGCCGTCTTATTGTGAAAGCCACTCCAGAGGCTTTTAATGGTGCACCAGGCACAATGTGGGGAGCTTCTCACCGGCACAAGGAGGACGCATGACAAAAACTCACCTTCATTAGTTCACTAATTACATACAGCACGAGTTCAGTAATGGATGATGTCGTTTTATTCAGCGAGCTTCGGGCCGGAGGCAGGATTTTAGTAATACGGAGGTGAGAAGTCCACGGTCGTCCTCACGCCACCCACACACTGTTTTCTGTTCACTTCATTATATATTTGTGATAAATTCTGTTTCCCAAAAGGGAGGACTGAAAGTTTATTTAGAAATCGCTGACCCCTCGAGGCTCTGCGACTTAGATCTTAATACTGACCGAGATGTGTCTGCAGTGCAGGGAATACGCTGAACGTAATGTTTTATTATTATTTTATATCTGATATCTCCTTAAAGGACTCAAATCAGAATCAGACAACCTACCACAAAAATAAAGACTGTTTTTAGCTGAACACTGTTAACTCCCCGCAGGCTGCTCACAACATCCAGATTTCTGGAAAAACACAGAGGACATGAACTGGATCCAGCTCCAGTCGTGATCATCGAGCTTCAGCCTCGCTACAGGAGACGATGTGAAAACACTGATAACTCAGTCTGCTCCTATTTGGAATGCAGGTTACTTCAATATAGCTACTGTGCAGTGGAAATATTGTTCTTCAGTGTGATTGTAAAGGCCAGATCGGGTTTTGTTGCAGCGTCCACTGAGCGCTGCTGAACTCACCTCAGACATCTTGTGCGCTCTGTAGTGAGACTTGGAGCACTGCAGCAGCTGGGCGGCCAGGTTGCAGTCTTTCCTGTACAGGTCCTGCAAGAGGCACAGAGATTATCCTCAGTCACTGAACTCAAGCGTCTGTGGCATCCTGACGGTTCGTGTAAGCTTCTGACCGACCAGTGTTATGAGTTTAAATGCTGCCTGAATTAAAAACCATCTGAGCAGACGTCGTGTGGAACATCAGCTCCCCATCGATTAGCTCGATTTTTCTAAATCAGTTATCAGGAAAAAGCAGACACCTGGGCTGACGTGGTTTAAGCTCTGACAGATGTATATATGAGCCGTATGTTCCTCTGGAAGCGTGATTCATCCTCTGAGAAAGAAGGAGATAAGTGGACCTACTGGACATGGCACACACTGATTTAGGAAGCCATTAAATTAAAGGAGCAAATTCATTCGTTCAAGCTGCTGGAGTTTAATTAGTGAATACACACTGTGTGTTTTCAGCTGAGCTGTATTATTAACTGTTAACTTTTTTTTTCCTTTTTCCATTTGCAGTATATCTTCTATCTGCCCAGTGCACACTCTGCTAATTTTATTAGACTTGTCTGAAACAGCAAATTCACTTATCTGCACCTTCCAGCCCAGGAAGCCAGAGCAGCGTTATTTATCTCTTTCCCTTCGCGTTCTGTCTGGAATGGATGGTTCTCAGGTTTCTGAGGGTGGTCCGGATGCTGTGTTTGGTTGTTTTCTGAGTTTCTGCGTGTGCGGGTGATTAACTGGTTTGTCCGACTTTCTTTTCCTCTCCCTGGTTGAATCCATCCACTCATGAAGGTCAGCTCCAGCCTCCCTGTGCTCTGGAGCTCTGACAGGACTTCCCACAACATCAAAGCCTTCTCTGGGACACTTCCAGCTCCCCCACCAGTTACCAGCCACTGCTTTCCAACGTCTTCATTTCTTGTCATTTTGTGGAGCGTGGACGTTTGGAGCCTCGTGGTGGTGGTTCAGAGCAGACCTCTGAGGCCTTGTCTTCGTTAACACGACTTCTGGGCTTTGGGGGATTTATGGGAATGTCAGCCACAGTTTGGTTGTTCCAGCTTTTGTGAGGTCTCGTGATGACGTCTTAACACAGTTTGTATAATTCAAATAAAGGAAAACTCCTTTCTTGTGGCTTTGAGCGATATATAAGAACTGGACTATATGAGGACGGGCCCGTGGGTTCAGAACCTCCATCCCTTTTATATAGAAGCCAGACCCAAACTGTAAGAAACATAAAAGCGTCACTTGTTGTATAATTTTGCCTCCTATTGTATAATTTTGTCAGGTAGTTGTTTTGTCTGTTTTCGTCTCTTTGCTATCTTCCACTTTCATCGTTCGGTCGTTTCAAAGCGTTTTTCCATTTTTATGGTTGTTTCTTTAGGGTCTCATCGATGTTGTTGGTTTTTTTTGTTAATATCAGATCTGGTGAAATTGTCCAACTCTGAATTTTCCGATTCCGATATCGACCGATACGATAGACGTGGGCTGTTTAACTAGTTTTAGGTAACATCACGTATCTCCTGTCGTGGAATTAACACATCATGTAAATATCAGTATATCAGCACCCTCAGGGTTCTGGTTCAGTTCTATGGTTCTTATTTAAATTTTACTTTAATTCTTCTGCTTTGCACGACTACAGTTACTTTTATTTTGTAGATATTTTTATATTTTTATCTTGTACCGTACTCGATACAGAACAAATTCCTCCTGTTGTCTAAACTATACCTGGTAATAAATCTGGTTCTGATTCTGGTGCCGTCGAAATCCAGGAATTATTTTATTGGTTTTCGTTATAGGCAAAAACCCAATAACGATATTGAAATGAAATGAAGAATACTTTATTTATCCCAGAAGGGAAATTCAAATATATGTATAATTCAATATCTATGTCAATAATAATATTGACGGGTTTTGTGTTTCCCTGCTTACAGCTGAGTGAATGTCGTGCAGCGTGATGCGTGTTTCCTCGCGGCCGGTCTCGGCGGTAACACGTCTGAACGGCTATTTGCTTTCTTTGTGTTCTGAGCAGGACGTTCTCAGCTTCCTCTCCAGAGCCTCGCCGCCGCCGCCGCCGCCGCCGCCACTGATGGGACACATTTTCCACCCACTCAGAATGAACCTTGACTCCAATCAGCCCCGTCGGATCTGGGGGGATTGTCAAAATGCTCCACGGCTCAGAAGTGCTAAAAATTGCCACATAGCAAAGAGAGAAAATCTCCCCTAACCTGGAGCCTCGACGAGGAGAACCAGTAAAATCACTTCAAAGGAAGTGAGGCGAAAGATTGCCACGTGGCCCCGAGCTGGGATCCACGCAGGCCCGGCTCCTGCTGCTGGCAGCCCCCAGGATGCCCATTGATTTCAGTATAATCACTATAAAGCACCCAGTGGCTCAGAGTTAATTCCTCTATCTGCTGCCGCACCTTGGAGCACAAATATCGGAGGGCGTTGCAGAAGCACAGCCACTTTCAGCACGAGCGGGTTAATGAGCGACGGCTGCCGGTGGAAGGGTTTCTCTCAGGAAAAACAGCTTTTTGAAGAGTTGTCATGTCAACCGCTGCTAACGAGGCCGAATCGCTGACCCAGCAAGGAGGGGAGCTTCTCTGGTCTCCTCAGGTCTCTGAGTCCTGAATGCCCCGGGCTTAACTCGCCAGCCCGCAGGCGAAATATAAGTCGAGCACGTCCTCGACGAAGTGTCATCGCACAAAAAAAGTTCAGACGCTGTACAAAGGAGCTGCAGTAACCTGGTTTAGGGACATGTGCTGACAGTGATGCTATCAGAAGCTCATAGGAGGAGATGCACTCACGTTGTCCTCTCTGAGTTTATTAATGGTGATCTTCGCCTCCATCAGGTGGTTGTTGAGAACAATGATTTCCCGGCTGAGGGCTCTCTTCTCCTCCTCGTGGTGCTGGGACTGCAGCGTAGGAGAGAGAATGAAGGAGGTAGAAGAGAGAACAAACCACAGAAAAACAAGGTGACAGAGTTAGACAGGGGAGAGGATAAGAGGAGGGCAGGAAGCACCGGGTGAGAGGGTTGAGATAACGAGAAGGATGAGAGCCACAGTCGGAGTAGCAACAGAGGAAGAAATGAGATGATAGAAGAGGGCAAGAAAAATGAGAGGAAGAGAGCCGTAAGTCACTATCAGCGTGGAGCTGGTGCCAGCAGCAGGTCTTAATTAAAAGAAGATTACACTTGCCAGAACTCATATCATATCAATTACTCTGGGAGAGAGAGAGAGAGGGAAGAATACAAAGACAAATGAAATATTCTCAGTGATTACTGTCAAAGAAATGCAGAATGACTGCTGCTGTCACGTTAGAGCGTCTCTGACTGGACTGTGCTGGTTCTGCCCGTTGACGGGTCCGTCTGGGTCCATCCTGGCTGCTATTCACCACTTTGCCCTCCTCAGTGGAGGAACTCCTCCAACATTATAGGAGGCTTCGTTTTAGCACCTCTCCAAGTTCAAAACATCAGCTTTCCAAAAACATATCTTATGATTTAACAGAAACTATCACATCAGGATGCACATCGGTATCGGCCCATATATCGGTACCGGTCCGATGAACACATTAATTGTCTAGCGTTAGCGTCTTCGTCTCTACGTCTCATGTCGCTGCTGTTTCACAGATGTTTTTACTTAAATGGTTCTGGACTTAAATATATTTAAATAGGTTTTACTTTAGTAATAAAGCAGACCATGTGGTCTAGTCTGGGCTTCCTGAATAGTTTTCTCTCAGTGCTGACTGATGCTCATTTTTCGGTGTGAACAAAAAGTAAACATCCACATCAGTGATATCGGTTATTGGCGATATCAGAAATCTTGATATCGGTATCGGCCAGAAGTTTTAATATCGTGCATCACGACTATCACAGAACCATCTGTGCACATAAATGTTCTGATTTTAGTGACTCTGTGGACTCCACCACTGCCCTCAGGACAAACCTTTTCAGTACTTTTACAGGAATTAACGTTCTATTTATGCAGCACCGGTAAAGTCGTGCAGGTCACATTATGTGGATTTTGCTGTTTTATAATCCGTATTCATGATGATTGGCTGTTGTTGAGCAACGTCAGATTCCCTCACCCCATCCACGTCACAGCATGCTTTTATTTTGAAATCATTCATGTGCCTAAAACATTTTTCTTACAACAGATCCTTTCCTTTCCACATACAGTCCCATAATGTCTTGATGTGAAACATGGTCGTCCATAAAACGCTCAGAAGCTTCAAACAGCCGATAGAAGCTGAGCAGCAGATTGTGGCTGCAGCTGAAAGCTCCAGAACAAGTGAATAAATGGATTTTAAAATGAGATTATATCGATCCTGATTTTATTGGTTCAGTCCAGCATATCTGTCTGATGCCATGTAATTACCACTGTGACCTGTAGGGGCCAGTAGAGGGTTCTGCTGATGAAGGAACGATGTTTTCTTTACACACACATCTGAAACCTGCCACACAGCGACACACTCGCCGGGCCTCCCGCCCTCCTCGCCTCTAATCTCTCAATGGCAGTGATTGTTTTGAAATACAGGGGTGCCGAGCCAATCTAATAGGTGGCAATTAATGTCAGTTTAAGCAATAGGCCAGCATTGATATTCAAATCCAATTCTGTTACGCTCTCATTAATCAGCTGTCGAGACACGGAGCTCCCTGCCGCTCTTTCTCCGGCTCATTACTCCGGCTTTCTGCTCCGGTTTAGCGATGCTGACTCGGCAGACGACCACATCAGGGCGCTTTACTGCTCAAATATAGACTCTGTCGCCGCTCTTTGTTTGCTAACTTGATGTTTTATTGGCTCAAAGACAGTTTCTCACTCAGATGGTGAAACACAAGTGGAGTTTCATACGGTGCTGCTTGTTTCCTTTCACTACAGCGAGAAGGATGAAGACTCCAGGTGATGAGGTGTGATGTGTCAGAAGGCCAACATCAGACAGGAAGTGGATCACATTTAAAGATCCGCCCGCTGTCTTTTACAACTCCTTTGAAACCTGCTTCAGCTGATTTTCATCCTGTTTTCTGCACATCGAGCCGTAGACACGTGTTAGCGTAGCATTCACACGTTCAGCACGCACAGCAGCAGCATTAGCATTCATTTGATGCTGTGTTTGTGCCCACCTGCTGAAAATCCAATATTCGCTCTGCTTTTAGCTCGTTTTAGTCCCCACCGCCTCCTCAGGGAAATATCTGTTTAGATGCTAAATGCGCCGCTTTCTTTACCTGCTAGTTGCTAGCTGTGTCGCGCTGGATGCTGGGCAGGTCCAGTATAAAGGCTTTATCAGAGGCCCTTTCTTTGAAAACAGCTGCCTGAACAGAGCGCTGAGAGCTCGATGAATTAGAAACAGTGAGATCGAGGGCCAGGAAAGCAAGACAAAGAGCCAGAGACGTTAAAACACCTCGTCGACACCAGGGCGGCCGTGTGGTCTGTTGATAATAAGTCTGGATTCATGTCCAGTGTTCAAATGAAACCAGTGATTTAGAACCTGTGATGGACTAAATCTGGAGCTCGCTTTGAAAACGAACGGCTAAATACAAAAATAAGACTCGTGTTGTGATCAAACTTGTAAAAAGGTTTAAAAAATCTAATTACTGCTGCACGGTGGCTCAGTGGTTAGCACCGTGGCCTCACAGCTAGAAGGTCGCCGGTTCTCCGGGTTCTCCGGCTTCCTCCCACAGTCCAGAAACATGCTGAGGTTAATTGGTGATTGTAAATTGTCCGTAGGTGTGAATGTGAGTGTGCTTGGTTGTCTGTCTCTAAGTGTAGCCCTGTGATAGACTGGTTACCTGTCCAGGTGAACCTGCCTTCACCCTGAGTCGGCTGGGATAGGCTCCGCCCCCCACGGGGCCACATTTGAGATAGTTTCTGATTCTTGTAAAATCTCTGATGATGACTGATATTTAAAACTTGAAGTTCCTGGTGTGCTGCCAGACTGCACGGCTCCATGTGCGGCACACAAGTGTGAAAACACACATTTTCAAAAATAATCTCTGACTCTGAGCCAGACGTAGTTTGTTTTTCTTCTTCTTCGCTGTAGCTGCCGACTGCGATAAGTTTCATACATTAATGAAAACATCGGATCCTCTGACGCTCCACTGTCATGCGATTACAGAAACCTGGGTACAGAAGTGCACCTCTAGATGGAGAGCAGCAGAGGGCCAGTCAGACCAGGCTTAATGCGACCAACATGATCTCGTACCGTGTTTGGAAACGAGAGGAGAGAGGAAGTGTCATTTTAATTATGATGGCCGGTGGAAGAACCACAGGCTGATTTTCTGCTATCAGCTGCAGTCACACTGCGTTGGATGCTGTCACCGAGACGCTCTTATCAGTTGGTGCCACACATATAAGAGAATAGCATCGCCGCAAATTAATATGCAAATTCTGACAATCATATCTGAAGGAGATTGACCCAGTGGAGGAGACGGGGTATTGTTTCCAACCACGTGGCAGCTCAGAGAACCCAAGTCTCTCTGTTAGTCTTTTAATTTATGCCGGTTTCCTCTAATTACTCAGCAGCTCGGTGACCAGGACACTCGGATGCACGTTTGGATCTGGACTCGGCTACCAAAGAGTCAGTCATCTGCTCTGTGATGCAGACGTCTAATGGAACGAAACAACAACAGAAATAGAACTCGCGGGGCTCGTTTCAATTATTGATCAGGAGGAATTGAGTGCACAGAGTATAAAATGAGAAGAAAAAGAATTGTCAGTTTTCTGAGACACCCCAGTTTGTTTTTACTCATTCTGTTGGAGCTTCTGTCTTTTCACTGGGCAACAAATGAAGCTCGAGTCCCACGAGATGCAATTACCGAGGACGGCGGTTCACGGAGAGCAGAAAACTCCATTTTAAATACAGGCTGATTTTAAAGGAGGGAAGAAGAGAAAGAAAGCAGATTTCTAACCTCATTAAAGGAGATTTTCTAATCAAGACACCAGAGATAACCACGGGTCGGTAGAAAGCGAATCTGAACAGTTTTCTGGAAAAAAGGAAGAAGTCGGTCAATGAACGCAATAAAGGTGAGAGAAGGTCTGAAATACTGAACACTGGTGTCCAGATCTACCTGACATGAGAAGCTAACAGCAGTGAAGTAGAAAACACCTCAATCGGTGCCTGATGAAGATAAAAATGAACCCGACAACAGGAGCCTGTCTGGTGGTTTGTGGATCACACACAGCTCACATCTCCTCTGAACATCTTCTGAAGCACTGATTACAGTTTTCTTAATTGTTCTACCTTCCAGGCAGCATCGTCTTGTCCAGGACATGACCTAGAAAAGT